AAATCTCTTGGCAGATATGTAGACTTACAGAGCAATCCTGGAAGCCAGTGTCATTTATACTGGGGCACATTATGCCTATGTAACCAACCCCATTCCAAATTCCATTCAGAAGTGGGGCTACCAGCTGAGCTGGCCTGAGCTTGGCAGAGGGAAAACAAGCCTTTCAAAATAAAGAGTTTTTGTCATGTCACCGAGCTGAATAGGGACTAGAATAGGGGTAAGTCTCTCCCTGTCCCACCACTCTCCCGGAACATTCATTTTCCAGGACTTATCCTGGCCACAGCTCAGCTGGCTGAACCCTGGCTGAGCCAGGATGGAGGACTTTAGACACCATATTTCCATTGCCTAGGCCTCTGGCTTTTTTTTAGATAGCCATAATGGCATATCGTGACCCAATACAGTTATTGGAAGTGGTAAAAGAGTCTCATGTGGCATGAGATTATTGGCGACTAAATACTGACCTACAAGTGGTGATATTTGAAAAAGCTACTTAGCTACATCCTGCAATTGTTGGTATCTTGAATGCTCCAGTTGGAACCAGCCTGAAGGGTAGAAAGAGCCCACCTTTGACTCCTAGCTGCAGCAGCAACTGCTATATTTGCCAAGTATTACATGTAAGCACCGACTGCACAATGTAACAGGTATTTTCTTCTTTATTATCTACATATTGATCCATTTTCCGAACCGGAGACACTGCAGGCAAACGTGATAGCTTCAATAACTTCTTTCCTAACAGTGACGCCTCCCCCCTGCCTTTGTTCTGCTCTGTGAGGTCTTACAAATAATGGCAATATAATTCTTCTGCACTCGGCAACCACTATGAAATGGACCATATAAATCAATTGTCAGCACTGTGACTCGCAAGTTAAGAAGCTCCCGGCTCCAAGTCCCACATCAGAACATCCAATTTGGACAAAGTGGCTTAAGGATAGTGCCGCACAGATGTAAGAAGTCCTTCGGTTGACAGTTTATGCCGAGGTCCTTTTCTGTGGCTATTGTCCTTTTGCAAAAGCAGATTTATGACACTATTTGGAGTATGGAATAAGTGAAGCGCCAGCCGATTCCATCCCACCCGCTCCCGTCTGACTTGTACCTTAATAGATTGGAACTAGGGCGGCAACTGCTGCATCAGAAGAGGCAGTTGCTGCAGTTCTAGCAAAGTGTTTGGACTTAACTTTGCACTGGACATATATTTACATACAACAAAATTGCAGTGCTTTCCCCTAATATGGTTTGAGCTTAGCTTTGCTCTGGACAATCAAAATCAAATGATATATGGATCCCAGAAATACACTTCATGAGAAAGAGAGTAGATAACTAAGATGGTCATGAAAGCGACCCATTCTACCTGGTTGTGTTACTCTCCAGTATGACCTCAGTCAAGCCTCAATGAATCACATATTTTCCCCAGGTGGTAGACTCTAACGAGTTATACACAAACAAGAGTTTGTAAACTCAAGAGTTGCTTTTGCAGAATCTGACTCTGTTATGCTGAATGTCCCCGAGAGTGATTATTTTACCAAAATCTAAATGAAGCCATTCAGGGAGTGTAATTTGAAGTGTTTTTTTCTTTGGTTGCAGTATTTGATTTCTTTCTCTGAATATTCTGGGGATGTGAAATGCCAAGCAGGCCACAGTAATGTCACATTAATGTAGTGCGGCATGTTGGTGTCATCCATCAGATCTTACAGCTGGCACATTAAATTATGTCTTTTGTAGGCATTGCTTCAACAGGTCCCAATGCCACTGGTTGTAAGATGCAGTACTGCATAATGATAGGCAGCTAAAGACAGCATCTTTTTTTAAAAAATGGGAGATGGCTTAACTTGCAAAGTTAGAGCATGACCCAGGTTCCAATGCTACATGGAAGTGCAGGGGGAGTTGTATTTGCAAACACTTGCCATGTTTCTTAAGTGTGTGTTGTTGGTGGTGATGATCCTAAAGGATTGGTAAAAGAGTGTCATTGCAAGTCCCAGGACTTATCTACACTTATGCTTTCCAAGTACAGATCCACACTTTAAAGTTACGTGTGCAACCACTCTTTTATTTCCCTGGAGCTTTCCCTGAGGAAACCTGCTCTTTGCCACCAAATCGGAGCAAGTGGCAATCCATTGAAAACCTGAACGGACATTGGTTGGCCTTCAGCTTTAAAGAGTGGGTTTTCACAGGGAAAGCACTGGGGTGCAAAAAGAGTGCTCACAGAGCTTTAAATCAGAGAGTTGTGCCTGAAAAGCACAGGGCAAAAGGTACGTAAGCATGGACAAGCCTCCAGACCTCAGTAGGCCCAATGATACCTGTCCAGGAATGAAGGAATGAAGCAGCATAGATGGATGTGTGCAGGAGAGAGAAATGGTGTGTGGGATATACATACTTTCCAGGTTGACATGTACCTAGAATGCTTATTCAGGTATTCCTAAATCTCCCACATGATGATGAAGAGCAAGAACTAATGTGTTATCTTGTTCCCATTGCTCTTCCTGATTTTCCAGGGTTCTAAATCACACAGTAGCCTACATGTGTACAGCAGGATCCCCACTGCAAAAGTTATTCCTCCAACTCATGAGAAATTTAAAACAGCTCAATAAGGTTGTTGTGGAGCTTATTAAAAAATGCAGAGTGTCTTTCCTGGTAGTTTCTCAAAAATAATGCAGCAGTTGGAACTGATGCACAAGAGTGTAGTGCCTTGCAATCAGGAGTGTTTTTATGGGTTGGACAATGGGGCTTAACCCCAGATTTTCTATGTAAGATTCCAGATCTCCTGGCCTGATCCTCTTTAACCCCTTTACTTATAGGGTCCTGGGTGTGCTGCAAAATGTAGGACCGGTGGGTCCTCAGCTACTTGCCAATTGCATTTATCCAGAACACTCCATGCATTTATGAAGATTTGTGTTGTGAGCTTGTACACCGGGTCCTTTGAGTGATACCCCGACTGCAGTCATCAAAGGTTCAGTCTCTGTTCATAGCAGTTAAGTTTTATGAATAAAAATAAAGAAATAAATAATTGATAATTCACCTCAAATAGGAAAATGTCACAGACTAACAAGACAATGGAAAAAACTTCTCATTGAGCAGAGCACTCAACTTTGGCCCTTACTAGAAGGTTCTCAAATGGCCTTTGCTTCTAGTTTGTGAAAACAGGCTCTGCAAAGCATTTTATGTCTTGGGGAAATAATTCAAAGGGTTCTATCTGAAGATAGTCTTGCCATCTTTCAAAACTGCTTTAGACAATTAATTCTGTGGGCCAGATCATTTTGTATGCATATGTGAGTTGATGTAGTTTCTAGGGGGTTGTGGTGAACTTCCAGTCAAAGTTGCAGTAAATACTTATGAAGTGTTTTCCTTGAAGAAACTTGTCACAGTCTGACCTTTATATGCCTTTTGAAGCTTTTTATTCCAACAGAATTCTTAATGGTTTATTTAATTCAATGCCTGCCTTAGGGAGTGCCATTACTGTGTTGTATTTTGTTAATATTTTCAGATTTTTGTGGTTGAATCCTATGCTTATTTATTTTCTTTACTTTGAGGCAAGTCCCTCTCTGTCCGTTGTATCGTTATTTTGTTGGTTCCTTTTCTGTTGAAATTTAGCTAACACTTTTGGGAATTTATCACTGTACCCTTGCTTTATCTGCTGTTTTGCTTCTTTCTGGAATGTCTGGTTGCTATTTTAAATAAATATGCAGGATGGCAGACTCAGTTTAGAAATGGAGAGTATAATTATTTAAAGAATAATGGTAATACTCTGGCATCGCAAGGTCATATTTCAGTCAGCCTATGACAAGCTGAGTAGTGCAGCACTCATTTGACCTCTTTGGTACACACTGAAAGCCCATCAAACCCAAGATACAACATGCCACTGTTTTGGCTTCATTATGAGAATCAGCCCTGGGAGAGGGAGAACATGTGAAATGACCATGTCCCTGGAGTCCTTGTGGTAAGGGGAACAACCAGCACAAGTCTTGGAAGTTCAGTGGTACCTTAGAGGGAAGAAATCATGTTATGAGTTGGGTTCAATACATCACTTCCATTTGAGATAATCCAGGCTGAATGGTTTCTTACATAACTCAGAGAACCTACTTCCTTAATGAGAGAAGCTTCACTTCAATTGCTGACACGTATGGAAGTGGAATGGTCGAACCCTGAATTTAAAAGTCTGTTTTCCATTTTCATTATGTATTTTATAAGCTAAATCCTTCCATTATTAATAGATGAAAGATGAATTTGTTTTGTAAAACAGCTTCAGGTTTTAATATCCAAAGGAGTCACTAGATTAGTGAGTAACTGCATTGGAAAAGACTTGTGCATCATCTTAGTTTCAAGTGACGCTGACCTTTCCTTGGGTTGCTTCCTGTACTCCCAGCTGCATGTTACAGGATGCAATCAGGAGCACACAAAGCTACTTTTTGGATGAGCCCCAAGTATACAATGTGATGATCAATTCACTTAAAAGTTAAGTGTTCCTATCTGAATAGGTCTATGCATGTAGTTAGCTTCTTTCCAATAAATATGACAAAAGGTTACATCTTAGTGTGTGGACAACATTCACTGTGAGATGGTAATGATACAAAACAGAGATAGTCAATATGTAGGTGTTTCAATGCTTTTCTTGAACAGAGCTAGTGTTATTAGAAATCATGTATATGTAAATATTAGAGATGTACTCCAGGAAAAGTTTGGTGGACCTGGATTTCACTCTCTCTCTGCATGTGCCCAGATTTCCATCTAACATCTCCCAAATCCAGCTTGGTTCTCTCATACTGAGAAGACATGAGAGATTACAGGGCTGGGCTTAGACTTCTAGGATTGGTACCTATCATGGTACCTATCGGTGCTGGAGCTCTTTTTGCAGCCTACCACATCCCTGAAATTTTTTGGATGCCCACCGGAACCCTCTAGATTCTAATGAAATCTCCAACACAGTGTGGCACAATTCTACCATGAGCAGAACTGCGAATCCATTCCCCCCACAAAAAAACCAGTCAGCCACAGAGTACTTTTTCTTTTCACAGAGAGGTCTTGCATTGGATAAGTTTCTGGAATGCCTTCTTGAAATCTTCGTTAAAGATTGTGTAAATCAGGGGGTTAACAAGAGAATTAATATATCCCAACCATGTCAGAAAATTATTCATTTCTTCTGAAATCTGACATCTTTCACAGGTATTGACAACCACCTCCTTCACAAAGAAGGGGAGCCAGCAGATCACAAAGGCACCCAAAATTAAGCCAAGGGTAGTTGCTGCCTTTCTCTCTCTCGTGGTAGAAATCCGTTGTCTCTTCCATCCCTTTTCATTCTTGGACTCAGAATTGGGGCTTCGCAGGGAGATATGCATTCTGTCCAAATCTCCTGAACGGTTAGATGCTTTCCCTTTTGTGCATGATGCTGTGGAAGCTGGCTGGCAGCTTTTCTCAGTTCCTTCCAGGAGACCCTGTCCATTTGCCTCCTCTTTGAGAACACGACTCACGCTCCTCCTGTGAAAAGTCTTAGCTGCCTTGTATATTTTGTAGTAAAGGATCAGAATCAACGCCAGCGGGATATAAAAGGCTCCAAACGTGGAGTAGATGGTAAAAACGATATGGTCGTGCTTAATGATACACTCATCATCCCTGCTGGCAGCCTGGTGCCGCCAAAACAATGGCGGCATTGAAATGAAGACAGAAATGACCCACATGACGGCAATCATGATGCCTGCCCGCTTAGGGGTTCGCTTCCTGGCATACTCCACAGCATCTGTGATTGCTCGGTAGCGATCCAAAGCGATGGCTGAGAGGTGCAAGATGGAACAGGTGCAGCAGGTAATGTCAACGCTGAGCCAAAGGTCGCACATCACCTGGCCCATGATCCAGGTCTCTTTGACAATGTAGACGATGCTGAAGGGCATGACTAGGATGGCAACCAGAAAATCAGTGACTGCCAAGGAGCAAATTAAATAATTGGCAGGGTGGTGGAGCTTTCGGGTCACAATTATGGCAGTCATCACTAGAGAGTTGATTATAGTTGTCATCACTGCTAGCACAGAAAGTGTAAGAGAAACCAGAATCTTGGGTGTTACTTTCTTAAGTAGTTTTTCTGATGTGTCATTTTGTTCCAATGTATAATTTTGTTCAGTAAAGTTCAGGAAATCCATGATTGCCTTCCAGGCGATTTTTATCTAACAAATATACCTGTAAAGAAGTAAAAACAGTTTAGGAAACAGCAACTTGATATCCTAGAAATCTCACAATACACAACAGATTTCAATATTCTCCCTTACTTTTCCCTGTAGTATTTTCCATGCCACATGTTTTTGTCCTAGTCATAGAAATGAGGAAATTGATTGGAATAACCAATCCCATAAAGGAAAAGGTAAAGGGACCCCTGACCATTAGGTCTAGTCATGACCGACTCTGGGGTTGTGGCGCTCATCTCGCTTTATTGGCCGAGGGAGCCGGCGTACAGCCATGTGGCCAGCATGACTAAGCCGCTTCTGGCGAACCAGAGCAGCGCACGGAAACGCCATTTACCTTCCCGCCGGAGCGGTGCCTATTTATCTACTTGCACTTTGACGTGCTTTTGAACTGCTAGGTTGGCAGGAGCAGGGCCCGAGCAACGGGAGCTCACCCCGCCGTGGTAAGTCCTAGGCTCTGTGGTTTAACCCACAGCACCACCCACATCCCTAACCAATCCCATATGGCTTCCTAAATCCTTACTGCAGTCACCACTTCCTTCTTCATTTATTTGGGGCGTGTGCAAGGATGAAAAGACTTGGATAACCTAATCAAAGGGAGAATTTCAGCTAATCATACCTATCCTTTTGGATGACATCTAGATTGATAGCAGCATGTTGAGGTGACCGCAAATGGTTCAAGACTGAGAAAACCTAGAGTCGTGGAAGCAAGCCTACATTACACTTATACCGAAAACAGAGACTGAAAAGAAGAAGAAGAAGAAAAGTTTGGATTTGATATCCCACCTTTCACTCCCTTTAAGGAGTCTCAAAGCGGCTAACATTCTCCTTTCCCTTCCTCCCCCACAACAAACACTCTGTGAGGTGAGTGGGGCTGAGAGACTTCAAAGAAGTGTGACTGGCCCAAGGTCACCCAGCAGCTGCATGTGGAGGAGCGGAGACGCGAACCCGGTTCCCCAGATTAGGAGACTACCGCTCTTAACCACTACACCACACTGGCTCTCAGCTCAAGAACTACCTCCCCATATCACTGCTTAACGTGGATTACAAAATTTTTGCAGATATTTTGGCTAAAAGATAAAAAAAGGTGTTAGTAGAAGAAATTCACAAAGACCAAGCGGGCTTTCTCCCAGGCAGACATTTGTCTGACAACATGAGGAATATAATTAATATTCTAGAAAAACTTCAGGTGAATATCAATACTAAGGCAGTTTTGATATTTGTGGACGCAGAGAAAGCCTTTGACAATATTTCTTGGAGCTTTATGAAGAAGAATCTACAGAGGATGGGGGTAGGTCAAGGTTTTGAAAATGGTATAGGTGCCATTTATTCAGAACAAAAGGCAAAATTAATTGTGAACAATGTGGTGACAGAAGAATTTAAGATTGAGAAAGGGACACGACAAGGTTGCCCAATTTCTCCATTGCTCTTTATATCGGTCCTTGAGGTTTTCTTAAATATGATTAGGAAGGACCAAGAGGTTAAAGGTATACAAGTGGGAGCTAAACAGTACAAACTGAAAGCATTTGCTGATGACTTAGTATTGACTTTACAGGAGCCAGAATCTAGTACTAAAAGGGTATTGGAACTGATTCAAGAATTTGGACAGGTAGCAGGTTTTAAGTTGAACAAGATGAAAACTAAGGTGTTAGAGAAAACTTAACTGTGAATGAGAAAGAGAAGTTTCAGGAGGAGACAGGACTAACATTGGTTAAGAAAGTGAAATATTTAGGGGTTAATATGACTGCTAAAAATGTGAATTTATTTAAGGATAATTATGAAAAATGTTGGATTGAAGTGAAAAAGGATTTAGAAATATGGACAAATTTGAAGTTATCATTGTTAGGCTGAATTGCTGTGATAAAAATGAATGTGCTGCCAAGGATGTTGTTTTTGTTTCAAACATTGCAAATTTTGGATAAGATGGACTGTTTCAAGAAGTGGCAGAAAGATATTTCTAGATTTGTTTGGCAGGGCAAGAAGCCTCAAATAAAATATAAGATACTAACTGATGCCAAAGAAAGAGGTGGATTTGCCCTGCCAGACCTTAAACTTTATTATGAATCAGCTGCTTTTTGCTGGCTGAGAGAATGGCTGCTTCTTGAAAATACTGACGTGTTGGATCTAGAAGGTTTTAATAATGTATTCGGTTGGCATGCATACTTGTGGTACGATAAGGTAAAAGTACATAAAGCGTTCAAAAATCATATTGTTAGAAAAGCATTGTTTAATGTCTGGATAAGATATAAGGATTTGTTAGAAAAGAAAACCCCAAGATGGTTGTCACCAATGGAAGCGAAGGCACAGAAAAAACTCAATATGGAGGCCAAATGGCCGAAATATTGGGAAATTCTGGAACAAGACGGAGACAGATTAAAATTGCAGAGCTTTGAAAAATTGAAAAACAGAGTGCGAGATTGGCTCCATTATTATCAAATAATGGAGGCATACAATCTGGACAAAAAAGTTGGTTTCCAGGTGGAAAAAGCAAAATTGGAAACAGAATTGTTAGATCCAAAACTTAAGAATTTGTCAAGAATGTATAACCTGCTGTTGAAATGGAACACTCAACATGAAATGGTGAAATCAGCTATGATTAAATGGGCACAAGATGTTGGACATAACATAATGATGGCTGACTGGGAACAGTTATGGACCACAGGTATAAAATTCACGGCATGTAATGCCCTAAGAGAAAATTTAATGAAAATGATTTATAGGTGGTACATGACACCAGTCAAATTTATCATTTGCCCGACAATAAATGTTGGAAATGTAATGAGACTGAAGGTACATTCTTTCACGTTTGGTGGACATGTCCAAGGATTAAGACATTCTGGGAGATGATTTATAATGAAATGAAAAAGGTATTCAAATATACCTTCTTGAAGAAACCAGAGGCCTTTCTCCTGGGCATGGTCTGCCAATTGGTGCCAAAGAAGGATAGAACTTTTTTTATGCATGCAACAACAGCAGCAAGAATACTCATCGTGAAGTATTGGAAGACACAAGATTTACCCACCCGGGAAGAATGGCAGATGAAGGTGATGGACTATATGGAACTGGCGGAAATGACTGGCAGAATCCGAGACCAGGGAGAAGAGTTGGTGGAAGAAGATTGGAAAAAGTTTAAAGACTATTTACAGAAATACTGTAAAATTAATGAATGTTAGAAAAATGTTGGAATGAAGTTATTATATGGCTTTAGTAGAAATGTTATAAGGAATTAAGTATAAATAGATTAATAGAGTATTAAAGGAAAAAATAAGGTTAGATTGTGTTAAGATAATTACAGGATAGACAACAGAGGAAGATGGAAAGGAATTGCTGAAACAATTAACAGAAGTGGAATACAAAAAGGGAGGTGTGAGGAGGTCGTGGAAATAAGTGAATGAAAGATAAGATATTGAAATTGATTGATGTTTTCTAAACTGTTTTTGTTTTGTTTTGTTAGTTTAATGTGTTATGCAGTGTTTTTGTATACAGTAGTATTGTATTGTTCTTTTTTATTTTATTTTTTATTTTATTTTTTTATCTATTTTTCTTTTGTGTGCTTAATTGTTGGAAAAGTAATAAATATTATTTAAAAAAGAAAAAAGAAAAACTATATTTTTGTGCTACATGTGCAGTATACATTTAAAGAAACCCCACCACGAAAGGAATCTGCAGTTTGTCCCTCACAGAGCTCCATTTCCCGTATCCTTGACAAACTATACTTCACTATTCTAGTAGCCACCATTTTATAGCAGGGAAAAGTAACGACTACAGTATTGGATTATATATAAAAAGTCATGTGCCTGAGTTAGTAATATAAAAGATTTGAGCTCTGTAGCTGGCACTTCAAAAAATATATGCTTTGAAAAGTATCTTTTTCTGTGGACAACGGAAGCATATCTGCCTACACTAGAAGAGATTGGATCAATCAGAAGTGAAGCATGACATGGTAGATTTTCTGCACTAGCAAGGTGGAAAGCATGTCTAGTCATTTCTGTCCTATTCTTTTCCCCCACAAATATAGACTAGGAAGAGTTCAAGGCTGTTGTTGCTTCTTTCTCTTTTAAGAAAGAGTCAGTAATGAGAAAACCCCGGGTCACTCTATAAATAATTACTTTCTTTTGTTCTGTTCTTCCAGCTTTTCAGAAGCAGGTTTTCTTTCTTTGGACTCGGTCCTTTGGAAAAACAAGTCCAAACTAAAGGTATAGAAACTGCTACGCTTTCTAATTGCACTGATGCTAATTAAAACAACAACAACCACATGGCAGAATGCCTATTTAAGTTAAGGGAGCCGGGGGGAAGATAACCAGCAAATACCGTATTTTTCGCTCTATAACACGCACCAGACCATAACACGCACGTAGTTTTTAGAGGAGGAAAACAAGAAAAAAAATATTCTAAACGAAATAGTGGATATATGATTTTTGTGGTTCATGCTGTGGCCACAGACATGTGATCTGACAGTGAGTTTGGAGTAGCCCAATGGCAAAAATCCTGAGGATCCATGTGGATCCATGCTTTGTAACCACGGAGGAGGGAAGGAAGGGGAACCATGGATCCTCTGCTCACGACTGCAGCAGATCCCCACCACCCGCAGGCATTCGCTCCATAACACGCACAGACATTTCCCCTTACTTTCTAGGAGGAAAAAAGTGAGTGCTATGGTGCAAAAAATACGGTAACCAAGAAAATAGTGGAATTAGTGCTTGCATCACTGACTACTTTCACTTGGTGTGTTTTTCATCTTTCGCAAAAAAGTGTTAATGCACAGGAGATTGTTCACACAGCACAGCTTTTTGACATGTGAAATGTGCTCATTAATTGATTCAGCTAAACATTTGGCT